TATTTTTCTTGTAGACCTTGTCATTTTTTTTTTTTATTATAACTAATAAATTAACAATCAGAATAAAACAATATATTCTATAAGTTAATGTGATGAGTTTAAGTCCTGTCCCTTGGTTCTGGCGTGATGTGGTCCCCTCCAGTGAGAGAATCACGGGTCCATGTTACTGGTCTGTTGGCCAACGTCGCTTTAGTCTTCGGATAACTTGATGTTGAGGTATTGCGGAAATTAATGGGTTGGAGTGTGTGTTCACTTTTTGAATGTATTGTAATTTCTTTTGCTGGTATACTTCTTTCACTGTTGAGATATTGAGATCCTCATAGATTCGTTGGTTGGTTACGTACCAGGGTGCATCAACAATTGCTCTTAAGATTTTTGATTGACATCTTTCCATAATAGCAATATTAGATTTACTACTACAGCCCCACAGCTCTATGCCATATGTCCATATTGGTTTAATAACTGTTTTATAAATTAGAATTTTATTATTTATTGACAGTTTGGAGTTTTTTCCAATTAACCAATTGATTTCTTTTTGTCTTAGTTGTATTTGTTTTCTTTTTTTGGTGATGTGTTCTTTCCAACACAGGGTTTGGTCCAGGTGTAGCCCTAGGTATTTGGTTGTTTTAGTCCTGGGTATTTCCTCATTGTTGATATATATTGGTGGTGGTGTTTCTCGTCGTAAAGTGAAAGTTACGTGGGTTGACTTGTTTTCATTAATTTTTATTTTCCATTGTTTTAGCCAGTTTTCAAGCTCATACAAATAATCTTGGAGTTGTTGTGTAGCTATGTTAATGTGTTTGTGACTGGTAAGTGCTACTGTGTCATCTGCAAATGTGCCAATTGTTACGTTATGCGAAGTTGGTAGATCAGAAGTATATAATATATATAATAAAGGTCCCAGGACACTGCCCTGTGGAATTCCCGCCTTAATGGGATGCATTTTAGATATTTCTCCATTTACTTTTGTTCTAAACTGTCGGTTTTCCAAGTATGATGTAAGTATTCGAAAGAAGGGTGGTAATATTTGTTTAATTTTATAAAGAAGTCCTTTATGCCAAACCTTATCAAAAGCTTGACGTACATCTAGTGATACCATTGGGCAATATTCCTTTTCTTCTAATGCGGAATTGATTTTATGGGTTATTCGGTGGCATTGCTGGATAGTTGAGTGTTCTCGTCGAAATCCAAACTGAAAATTTGGTATCCAGTCTGCGCCTGTAAGGCCTGGATCTATTCTTTTTATTAAAAGTTTTTCTAGTAATTTGGAGATTGTTGATAACAGACTGATAGGTCGATAGGATGAGACTTCACTTGGATCCTTTCCTGGTTTTGGAAATAAAAGTATTTCTGCAATTTTTAGATTGTTAGGCCAATAATTACATCTTAATATTGCGTTAAATATATATGTAAGGATCACTATACCCTTTTTTGGTAATTCCTTTAGCATTTTTGGAGTTATTAGGTCAATTCCTGGTGACTTTTTGATATTTAGTTTTAAGATTTCTTCTTTAAGTTCTTTGGGTGTTGTTAATTTTATTGGATTTACTGACGGTTGTTCTGAGTTTAAATAATTAATAATTTCTTGATCTTCTTCATTGTTGTGTGGTTGGAATACTGTTGCTAAATGTTCAGCAAATAATTCGGATTTTTCTTTATCGCTTCTTGCCCATTGGTTCTGTGTGTTTGTGGTTTTTCTTACTGGTGGCGATATTGCTTGAGGTTTTAAGGATGATTTGATTGGTTTCCATATTGAATGGTCGTATCTATTAAGTTGTGTTACATATTTTTTGACTGACTCTTCTCTTGTAATTTTTAGTTGTGTTTTTAATTTATTGGCTAAGCGATTGTAAAACGTTTTATCCGCTGGGTTCCGACTTTGTTGCCATTTGGCTCTTGCTCTTCTTTTTTCAGCAATGAGCTTTTTAATTTCTAGTGGAATATTTATTCTATTCTCGATTTTATTTTTATCTGCATCGTTCGGTGTCGCTTCTTTTGCAGCGTTTTGTAATAATGTCATAAAGTTGTTTGTAGCTGCTTCTATTTCTGAAGGGCTTCTTAGTCTTACATTTAGTTTAATGTTTTCTTCCAGTATTTTTCGGTAAACGTTCCAATCTGTTCTAGGTCCATGCAGTTTTGGAGTAGGTTGTTTGTTAATAACGCAGGTGCTAATTGTTGCAATAATTGGTGAATGATCTGAAGATAGATCATAACTTGGAACTATGTCCATAAAGGTGTTAGATATTCCTTTTATGATGCAAAAATCTAAGAGGTCTGGTCTTTTTTTGGGGTCCGTTGGCCAGTACGTTGGTGTTCCTGTTGATAAATATGAGTATTTATTTTCTTGCATTAAGCTATAAAGCTCTCTCCCCTTTGTTGTTATTAATCTTGATCCCCAGTACGTGTGTTTACTATTGAAGTCACCAGCTGCGATAAATTTTGGACCTAGAGTATTGAAGAAGGATGCGAAATCGGTTTTTTTAATATTGTGCTTTGGAGGGCAATACACTGCTGCTATTGTTATTTCGTAAGGTAATGAGCACACTTTAATTACTGTAGCTTGGATACAGTCTGTTATATAACTTTCCATCATGAAATGTTTAATTGATTGTTTGATCAAAATTGCTGTACCTCCATGGGCTGTCTTGTCTGGATGGTTAGTATGGTACGTTAGATATTGAGGTATTTTAAAATACGATTTGTCTGTAAAATGTGTCTCACTTATTAATAATACATCTATAAAATTTTGTTGTAGAAATATTATCACCTCGTCCTTATGATTCAGCAGGCCGTTGGCGTTCCATTCTGCTATTCGTAGAAAGAATTTTATTTGCATATGAGTTTACTTAGCATGTTTATTACCATGCTGTTTTGTTGCAAGATTTGATTAAACATGGCTTTGAATTCTTCTAAAAACTTCATAAGAATGGTGTTTGAATCTTGGTTATCTGAAGGAGCAGCAGGAGGTTGTCTATTACCCGCTGCATTAGCATAGCTTACATTTGGTCTTACTGTGTTGGGTATAAAGTTTCTGTTACGTGCTTGCGACATATTTTGGTGATGATTATATGTAGTTTGTGCTATATTTTTATTTCTATTTAAATTACGATAATATTCGCATCCTTTATAGTTAGCTGGGTGATCTCCTCCACATAAAGCACATGTAGCTGGTGTGTTCTTGTTCTTTTTACAACTGCTTGTACTGTGCTGTCCTCCACATTTCACACAGACATATGGTCTATTGCAATATGTTTTTGAATGGCCATATAATTGACATCTCATACATTGGATGATATTTTTGTTTTTTATAGGTGGTTCAATTTGTATATTGCAGTGTTGTAGTTTCTGAATTTTATAAATATCTTGGTTATTGTCTGATGGTTCAAGGTCAACAAAGAACATATTTATCGGCTCTTTTGTAATCCTATGTTTAGCATTAATGATGTTTCTTACCTTGTGACCCAGTTTTGTCAGTTCTTCTTTGATGTCTTCTGTTGCATGTGAATAGTGAAGGTATTTAATTACGACTCTATAGGCCCTTTCTTCCTTTGGTTGATATGTGTGATGAATAATGTTGTTCTCTCTCATATATCTGGAGAATTTTCTGTATATTTCTGGATCGCTACAAATTATTTTGACTGTATTATTTGCCATAGTTCTGGTTTCGTATTGTTCAGCTTCAGCTATTTCTGTAAATTTTTTCCTCATTTCTGGGAAGTCGCTTACATCGTAAACAAATATTGGTGGTGGTTTAGGTATTCTTGGCGCTGTTTCATTTTGATTGGTTTCATTTTCTTGGGTATCCGTTAGGGTATTATATTTGTTCGATAGTGTAATGGTATCATCTTCTTTGTCTGTTTCTACATTTGATCTGATTTTTCTGCGTTTTGTAGTTTTAACTACTTGCCATGAGTTATTTGTTGACACATTTGCACTTTCTGGTTCGTCATCGCTTGTTGATGACATTCTGTAGTATTGCTGGCTATTTCTGTTATTTATATTGCTGTTGTGTGCCGCGTTTTGTTGATTTATATATTGTTCTTGATTGGGCGGAAATATCATATTCGTCGAAGAATTAGTGGTTGGTTGATTTATTTGCATATTGTACATACCTGGTATTTGTGATGAGATTTGTGGATAACCCTGTATATTGTTGATTTGTGATTGACCCTGTGTGTTGTTTGGAATCTGCATTTGTGGGTAACAATTCATTTGGTTTGATGGATACTGGATTGGTAATGGCTGGCTGTTTACATTTTGTATTTGTTGGCTAACTATGTAGTTGTCGAATCCTGGTCCATTTCCCGTTGGAAACATTATAAATAAATTACTGTATTGTTTTTAAATTTAATTTGATGAGTTTATTATTTTTAAGTCTATTACTAATTGATTGCTTTTTAATCACTTCACATTTATCTGTTCAAATCGAGAAAACCGGTCGAATGTTGATAACAGAGAACCATTTAACGTCCGCTCGGTATGGAGTATCGATGTGAACTACCTTGTCATTTGAAAACAATCTTTACTTTACAAACAGTTTGATGTTGCTACGCAACGCGTAAGGTCCCTTTTTCGAGCTATGAAATTGTACGTTTCCTTAAATAATATAATCGTTATTATTAACCTAGTGTATTAATAATTATATTTTTCTACTCTAATTATCTAATTTAAGGGTAATCTGACTTGACGTGAAAATTTTAAAATTTGACTAAAAGTTTGATACCATCCCACAAAGACAGGATTTACTTCAATAGTTAGTAGTAGTATAATAAAGTTTTTTATATTTATATTAATAATGTTAGTGAACTTTATAGAATATACAAACAAAAAATATATGTCAAGAACATGATTTCCTACAATATTGTAGCAATATCACTACATTTTTTTAATCTAATACTTACCTTTACCTGTATACATTTTTCGCACTTTATTATAATTCCCATTAAAAAAGTTTTTTATGGTCGTTGTTTGCCAGTGTTTAAAATTATGGTTATTAATTTTTTGAAAGCAGATTTTATTTGATATGTATAAATTATTAAAACAAAAAATATAAAAAATAAACATTATACATTTAACCACAGTCTTCTACTTTAACATAACTTAAATAAAATAATTTTTAATACTGTTATTGGTATTGGTATACTACATTGGCTGGTTGTCTATGTTCTTCTACGGGACGTCGCTGTTGAGGATGAGGTTGCTGTTGCTGCTCCTGCAATGTAAATTAAACAATAAGTATGCAATATTATATCTACAGTTCGGCTAAGAAAATTTAAATATATTTTAATACAACATTAAAGTCACCCTATACTTCTTGACAAGAAACATATAATTTAAATATTCTTATTATTTAGAAGATAGGCTAGACAATCAGACGGAATCAGAAAGTAGCCGGTGTACCATTCATTTTTACTCCGTTAAATTTTTACCCTAGAGTAAAGTTTTAACGCTAAATTTTGACTCACAGTTTTAAATTGGTACTCTCGTTTTCTACGTTAAAAAAATTTAAATCTAATGTGCATTTTTGTATTGTTAAATGTGATTCTATCGAATTTACTAAATATATTCTTCTTCTTCTACGGCACTATATCCCAAATTGATCCTTGACTCCTTTATTTTTTACCCCCGCCCTTGCTGGTATGGCTGATCTTTTCCATACATGGATTTCTAAATGGGCTTTTGCGTCGCTCTTTACTGGGTCTTCCCAGTGCTGTCTTAACTTTCCAACCGGTCTCTTTCTCTGCATTCAAGCATTAAGTGCTCTTTTTGGTAGCCTATCTTTTCCCATTCTTATCACATGTCCAGTACATTGCAATCAGTGTATTCTAATGAAGCCTGACAGTGGTGCTTTCTTATAAAGTTAAAAAAGCTCGTTGTTGTATCGACTTCTAAAGATTCAGTTTTCCTTCATAGGACCTAGTATCATACTCCTCAGTGCTTTCCTTTCAAATGTATCTAGTTTGCTTTTGGATGTTTCTTTCTGGACCCATGCTTCACTGCCCTAGTAGTGCATGCTATTGGTCGAACTAAGGTTTTATAGATTTTCATCTTTGTACTTCGGTGGACATTTTTAGACCGAAATATATGGAAGAGGGCAAAATAAGCTCTATTTGCCTGCGTTATTCTCTTCCGAATTTCTCCACTCACTGATCCATTGGCATATATTTCTACTCCCAGGTATGTAAAATTTCCAACCGTTTTAATGTCGTCTTTATGTATTTTGTTTTGTGGTACTATATTTTTTTGTTTTTTCTATGTTAATTTCCAGATCTAGCATTTTTGTTTACGTCTATGTTTGTCTACGTTTTGTTTAGTCTATGTTTATGTTTCCTGTGCTCCTGTTGATGTTCTACTCATGATGTTAATATCATCGGCATAAGCGGCCAGTTGAACCGTTCGGTTGGTCAGTATGTTTCCTCGCCCAGTTTGCATTTGCCTAACCGCATACTCCAGTGCCAGGTTAAACAAAGTTGGAGCCAGCCCATCGCCGTGCTTTAATCCTTGCGAAATTTTGAAAAAGTCTGTTCGGTGGTTTTGTATTGTACACATGTCTGAGTTTTATCCATTATGGGTTAAATGAGTCAATTTAGCTTTATTATACTAACTAAATATTTTGTATACTAATGATTCTGGTTATTTATAAACAAAATCAACTTATAATATCGAGCTCTTCATGGAATGTAGCAATATTTTTGAATAACGCATTGCAGAGATAATAATTAAAAAAAAAACAATATGCATATTCTATAATAAAGGGTGAAATTACTGAAATTCGACAGTAGTATCATTGGCGAATAAAAATCTGTAAAGTTTAAATTCTTTTCATGGATTAAAATGATCACCAGGAGTTCAGGCATCCCAGCACTTGAAATAATTTAAATGAAACCAATATGACCAAATGTATTGAATATATTTTGGACATTACTAATACCGTTCTTAGCCTAAATGCCATAACTACCAGTATCATAAACTGAGCAGCTACAACAATCAGCATTTTATAATAAATTAACATATTATGTTACAAAAATTATGTTTTCTACAGCCGTCTCGAAATCCAAACTTTCGTTTTTGGTTTTTTAAAAGTTCCACTTCACAGAAATCGAACCGAACTATTTTTAGGTTGAGTTTTTACACTTTTGGAGGGATTTTTTTTATTTTTAGAACGATTTTGAGTATGTATATAGGCGAACTTAACAATAATATCATTTTTTATTTTTATTTTTACAGCGCTTGTTATATAAGATTCAAAACTTTTTTCGATTTTCCATTTAAAAAATGGAAATCAGTAATGAAAGTGAAGCCGAAAATTAATTCCGCATTAGATTGGTGACTGTTGACTGTTAAACGGCAACTTATGAATTAGTGTCATTAGAGTCAAGAGAGAGGTATAAATTCTAAATCTACAATTTATTTAAAAAGTGGAGCAATAATAAAAAAGTCATCATCATCATCATCATCATTGGCTCCACAATCCATGGTGGGTCTTGGCCAGCTCAAGGATAAGGCTCCATTCTCTTCTATTCTTCGCCTTGACTTTCCAGTTTCATACTCACAACATTCTCAAGTCTTCCTCCACCTGATCCTTAAATCTATTCTTTGATTATAAATATGTTTTGGCGGCTCCATCTCATTAATTCTCTCTTTATGTGACCTAACCACCTCAGCCGGTTTATTTTGATGGACCTAAGTATCAGGTTTGTCATACAGGCGGTAAATATGGGTTTGATAAGAGTTCTGTATATCACTAGTTTCGTTCTTTTTGTAACTAGGCTTGTTGTTAAAATTTTTTAATCCATAAAAGGCTCTGTTGGCTAAATATATCCGTCTGTTAATTTCTGCACTTACTGCATCATTATTCTGAATCATTTGTGAGCCTAGATATATAAACTCTCTTACTCCTTCGAAAGTATAATATGTTCCGATCGTTAGATCATCGGGTTGTGCTGCTTGTATATAATTTGATACTTTCATATACTTTGTCTTACTAGTGTTAACCTCTAGTCCCATTCTTTTTGTTGCTGCTTTAAGCGCATTGAATGATTCGACCACGTCCGCCTTTCTTCTTGTCATCGGTGTCTGCTTCAATAATGTCGGTGTCATCGGCGTACGCTAGTCATTTTACGCTGCGATTAATAATAGTTCCTCTGGTTGTTATTCCAGATTCTCTTATCGCTTTCTCTGGTGCAATATTAAATAGAAGGCAGGATAGGCTGTCTCGTTGTCTAAGTCCTATCTGAGAATGAAACTTTCTGGAAACTCCATTCTGCACTCTAACTTTACACTCGACTCTTGAGAGGGACGCTTTCACCAATTTTATTAAGTGTACTGGTATACTGAATTCTATCATGGCCTTGTACAGTGCGTTTCTTTCAACACTATCATAGGCACATCTGAAATCAACAAACAAGTGATGAGCATCAATGCCATACTATGTTTTTTCCACAGTTTGCCTTAGAAGGAATATTTGATCGGTCGTTGATCTTTCTTTACAAAACACACACTGATATTTACCTATTTTGTTTTCACAATATCCCGATAGTCGGTCGTAAAGAATATATGCCAATATTTTGTATGTTACGTTTAGGGTTATTCCTCTGTAGTTGTCACATATTGTTTGATCTCCTTTCTTGTGGATAGGTATAATTATACCTACATTCCAATCTTCTGGCAAATTTATTTGTTTCCAGATCAGTTCTATCAGTCTACATATACAGCATGTCAGGTTTTTTTGCTTTAAAAGTTCTGAAGGAATGCCATCTGCCACAGGAGCTTTGTTTTCTTTCAATTTTTGTATATCCTGGATGACTGCTACCTCTGTTGGGATATTATATTCTCTCTTTCGTCGGCAATATCCTACAGTTGGATTTCTGATTCGTGGAGCCCTGTCTCACCTCTTATATTTAACCTTTCCTCAAAGTTTTCTGCCTACCTTTCTGGTATCTGGTCCTGATCACCAATGATTTCTACTGTTCTATTTCTAACGATTGATAATCTTGGTTTGGATTCTATCCTGTTCTCGTTAATTCTCTTGCAGAACTTTCGCGTTTTTGCTTGTGCCCTATAGCTCTCTAATTCTTTTGGTTGACTCTCTATAAGCTCTTTATTTTTTTTTAAGTATTCGTTTATTCTTTTCGTCTCGGCTGCCTATACTCTTTTTCTGTTTGTCTCGTTCTTCGCCCTTGGAGTGTTCTATATACCTGATTTTTTCTTTGCGTTGCTTGTGCGATTTCCTTATCGTCATTCATCATCATTCAATGATAAAAAAGTACATAATATAAATTAAAAAGTCATTCTTGCATTATTAAAAAATCTAAAATCTTAAAGCCCCCGAGCTTCGGGAGCAACTATTTAATGCTTAATGTCCATAATAACTAACATTAATTACAATATATATATATATATATATATATATATATATATATATATATATATAAGCCTACATTCCTAAGTTATTGCTTTCCTTAAAAGAAAATACGTTAGCTACAAACCAAGAGTTAAGAATTAAGAGTATAGAATAAAGAATAAATAGATAACTTAGTGACAATGGTAATATATCCATGGAATTTCTCTTTTTCCTTTTAAAGCATGGTTATAATTATCTTAATATTTCCCTTCAGAAAATTGTTTTAACGCCGCCATTGACTTTCCACCATCATTGGCGAGGTAACGAAATATCCCTTATCCCATTTGAATTGTTTGTGTCGTTGCTAGATTCCCTGTAGTAATACACCGCCATACACATACTTGGTCAATATTGTGAAGGGCCGTAAATTGCAGTACTTGGGCCATATAATGAGAAATCAAGGCAGATACTAGCTACTTCAATGCATTTTCTTCTTCTTCTTCTGGTTCCTATCCGCTTCGGATGTTGGAAGTCATATTGGCAATCATAACCTTGCTCGCTGCGGCTCGAAACAGCTCCGTTGAGGTATTGATTACCCATGTTCTTAAATTCCGCAGCCATGATATTTTCCTTTGATCGTAAACACAATCTCTGGTTCCTTCTTCATTTTTCCTAGAACTTCCTTGTTCGTAATACTTGCTGTCCATGATATTCTCAGCATTATTCTATAGAGCCACATCTCAAATGCTTCAAATTTTTTAATAGTGGTGTCTGTAAGCGTCCATGCCTCCGTCCCGTACAACAACAAAGAGAAAACATAGCATCTCAAATGTCTCATTTTTGTATCTAGGGATATGTTGTGACTTTTG